TCATCAGTATCATAATCAGTTCCGTCATCAGTAGCAGCATCAGCATCATCGTCACCATCATCATTCACCCCTTGAACCTCATCATTTACCCGCCCGAGCCGGCATCCTGATCCTCCTCGGCCCCTTCCCTCTCTCCCTCATGCTCCCCTTGTTCCGCCTCCTCGTTCTTCCTTTCCCCAGTCCCTCTTGTCCCTCCCTATTCTCCCTTCCCCTCCCTGCTTATCACTTTTCCTTCTTCCTTCTCTTCCTTGTCCTCAACTTTCAGATCTCCCTCCTTCTTGTCGTCGTCATCCTTCTGCGTCTCCCCCTCCCTTACCGTCCTCTCCCGCCTCCCCCTCACCTCCTCGTTCTCTCCCTCCTCGTCCTCTCCCTCCTCGTCCGTCCTCTTCATCCGCTGCATACACTCCTGGTCAGCATGCCTCGGGCTCGTGCTCTGGGCGCGGCTACTTGCTAGGGCGTTGTGTGGACGGGCGCGGCAGGGAGAGGCAACAGATGGAGGAGGGGGAGGGGGGATGTGGAGGCGGGAGGGTGGGAGGGAGAGAAGGGAAAGACATGAGGGAAAGAGAGAGGTCGACGAGGAGGAGGAGGACGACGATAAGGAGAAGAGTCGCTTCTGGCTGCGCGCGGCACCTCACCAACCCTCGAAGTACCCATATTGTTCCCCTCCTGCTCCTCCTCCTCCTCCTTCTCCTCCTCCTCTTTTCGTTCAGTGCCTCGCTGCTGCCTTTGTGCCTCGATGGCGGCGGGAAGAAGAAGGGTCGAGGCGGCGGTGGAGGAGTCCAACCGTCAGGAATGGTGGACCAATACTGCGTGCAGCTGGGGCCCTCAGGAAGGCCGCCGCGTCAGCCGACACGCACACGGAGCATCTTTCGGGTTCTTGTCACCTGCCAGCCAGCCGCTTACTTGTATGCTAGGTTCGGCTCGAAGTCGCCTGGTGTAGCAGACCCACTGTAAGCCCCCTGTCTCTTGCAGCCCCCGCGGTGATGTAAGTGGAGGCGGGGGGATGACCTAGACTTCTTCTTCTTCTTCTTCTTGACAGGAGGACAAGACGGGTGGTGGTCTCTGGTCGTGTTCTCCTCTGGAGGGCCCCTTCGGCAGACCACGACCCAGGATGCAACACCCTCACGACGTCGGAGATACCCAGAATCCCTCATCTTCATCCTTCCCCTCCCTTCCCCCCCAACCCATCCCCTAAAAAGTTGGGGGGGCCCGAGTGGGTCCCCACCCGTCACCAAGGGGAGCCCCCAGGCGTTGGGTTTATGACCCCGGGCCCCTAGCTCCTGAGAGCGCCACCTACTAGACATGGCCTCTTGGAGGACTGGCCCAGGGGCGTTCCGCCTCTGAGTGCAAGCATTTCCAGCCGGACCAAGGTATAAGATCGAGGTCGGTTCGGGGAGGGTACCCTAGTGTTCTTCGTGCTCGTCGGATGTTCTTGCGCATCCTGGGGAGGGTACCCTTGGATGATCTGCTTGGTCTGGCCGACGGAGGGTCTAATGATCTTGAAGGATGTTTTTCTGGCCTAGGTCCGACACTGATTGTTCGTCCGCCCGCCCGCTCTTCGGAGGAGGAGGAGTCGGCGGGGGGGCGGGAGGAGGAGTCGGGAGGGGAGGGGGGAGGAGGAGGAGGAGGAGGAGGAGGAGGAGGAGGAGGAGGAGGAGGAGGAGGAGGAGGAGGAGGAGGAAAAGGAGGAGGAGGAGAAGGAAGAGGAGGTGGAGGAGGAGGAAGAGGAGGAGGGGACGAGGGAGGAGGAGAGGAGGACGAGGAGACGAGGAGGAGGAGGAGGAGGAGGAGGAGGAGGAGGAGGAGGAGGAGGAGCAGAGGGGGGGGGCGGGCGGCCGCGGGGCGGGTCCTTGCCCGGTGCCATCCCCGCCCCGTGGGTGCGCGAGGTCTGCTCGCCTCGCGCGGAGGGTGGGTGGGGGTGGGGGGTGGGCGGCGGCGGCAGAGGAGCTGGGAGAGCAGAGGGGAGGGGGGAGCCGGAACGGAGGAACGCGATCGCCGGGAGGGGGCCGCGCCGTATGATCATTGATGTTCTGTTTGGTGCTCACGATATCGCCGGGGGAGTCATGTTCGTTCTCTGGCGTTGGGCCACAGAGAGGACACGGTACCCGTACTGCTGCCCTTTCCTCGTTTTCCCCGTGCTGGGTATCGTGGGAGGTCATCGCCGCCGCTGAATTCGCGTCGAAATTCTGGTCAGAGCGCACCTCGGGAGAGGTCCGTGGAGTAGCCGCTGCGGTACCTCTCAACTTCCCCAGAGGGGGATGGGGGGGCCAGCGAGGAGCAGCAGCGGCTGGAGCGGAGAGGACGAAGCGGGAGGAGAGGGAAGAAAAAGGTGAGAGGACGGCAGGGAAGGGCATCCGAGTGCAGGGGGGAGTGCGCGAGGGATGGTAGGGAGAAGGAAGACGTGGAGGAGGAGGAGGGTGGAGGTGAAGAAGGAGGAGGAGGAGGAGGAGGAGGAGGAGGAGGAGGAGGAGGAGGAGGAGGATGGTGATGGAGGGGTGGAGAGGGTGGGAGTGCGCGAGGTGGAGGAGGAGGGCGGAGAGGGACACAGGCGAGGGATGAGTGGAGCGTGCATAAGGGAGGACGCAGGCGCAGGAGTAAGAGTTGTGGGAGGAGGGGGGGTAGGAGGAGGTGAGGAGGAGGGTGGAGAGGGGCAGATCTGAGATGAGTGGAGCGTGCAGAAGGGAGGAAGCAGGCGCAGGAGTAAGAGTTGTGGGAGGAGGGGGGATAGGAGGAGGTGAGCGAGAAGGAGGACAAGCAGGGGAAGGACTGGAGTGAAAGCAGGACGCACCAGCGATGCTGCCATACATGCTGGGTCGGAGGGGCAAGAAAGGAGGAGCCAGGGAGGATGACGATGGGGAAGGATGATGAGGTGGAGGAGGGGGAAGAGGAGGGAGCACCTGCAGCAAAAGCCGCCGTGAGGAGGGGAGGAGCGAGAGGACACCGGGCGGGGCGACGGGAGTGGCAACGAGCGCTGGGCGGCGGCCAGGCGAAGGACTCTGCCGCGTCCGCCTCCCAGGAGCGGGGCTCGGGACATGGGCACCAGGCTGCTTGGCACGAGGAGGAGGAGGGGAAGGAGGAGGAGGAGGAGGAGGAGGAGGAGGAGGAGGGAGGAGGAGGAGGAGGAGGAGGAGGCGGAGGAGGAGGAGGAGGGGAGGAGGAGGAGGAGGAGGAGGAGGAGGAGGAGGAGGGAGGAGGGGGAGGAGGGGAGGAGGAGGGGGAGGAGGAGGAGGAGGAGGAGGAGGGGAGGAGGAGGAGGAGGAGGAGGAGGAGGAGGAGGAGGAGGAGGGGGAGGAGGAGGAGGAGAGGAGGAGGAGGAGGAGGGAGGAGGAGGAGGAGGAGGAGGAGGAGGAGGAGGGAGGAGGAAGGAGGAGGAGGAGGAGGAAGAAGGAAGAGGAGGAGGAGAGGGGAGGGGGAGGGAGGGAGGAGGGGGGAGGAGGAGAGGGGGGGAGGAGGAGGAGGGGAGGAGGAGGAGGGGAGGAGGAGGAAGGAGGAGGAGGAGGAGGAGGAGGAGGGAGGAGGGAGGAGGAGGAGGAGGGGAGGAGGAGGAGGAGGAGGAGGAGGAGGAGGAGAGGAGGAGCAGGAGGAAAGAGGAGGAGAGGATGAGGAGGAGGAGGAGGAGGAGGAGAGGAGGAGGAGGAGGAGGAGGAGGGAGGAGGAGGGGAGGAAAAGGAGAGGACGAGAAGGAGGAGGAGGAAGAGGAGGAGGAGGAGGAGGAGGGGAAAGGAGGAGGAGGAGGAGGAGGAGGAGGAGGAGGAGAAGGAGGAGGAGGAGGGGGAGGGAGGACGAGGAGGAGGGGAAGGAGGAGGAGGGGAGGAGGAGGAGGGGAAGGAGGAGGAGGAGGAGGAGAGGAGGAGGAGGAGGGGGAGGAGGGGACGAGGGAGGAGGACGAGGAGGAGGAGGACGAGGAGGAGGAGCAGGGAGGAGGAGGAGGCGGAGGAGGAGGAGGAGGGCGAGGAGGAGGAGGAGGCCGAGGAGGAGGAGGCGGAGGCGGAGGAAGAGGCGGAGACCGAGGAGTCCAGCCGTTGCGACGTTCACCCGCCCCTGCGCCCAGTGCGCGATTCTGGGAGCTCTGCCGACGGCACTGGCACTTGAAGTTGGGCAAAGGGCAAGGGGGCCGGACGCGCTGACAAAGCCAAGAGAGCAAGTTACCGCCAGATGCGGATGCGCCCTGGATCTTTGTCCGCGTGGGCCTGGCCGCTCTCGTCACTGCTGTTTTTCACCGTCGCAGGGCGCGTTCGGCATGCAGTCGCTTTCTCGGGGCGTTGAGCCGTCATGAGCAGAGGGATGCGATTCAAGCGGCATGCGTCTGCAATGTTGCCGCTGCATCGTTGGCTCTCTGGCCCAGCCATTCGGCAGCATTCGACGTCCGAGGGTCCTGCATGCATGTCCAAGGGTCTGGCGTGGGAGCCCAATGGTCTCCCACTCCCATGTGCTGCATCCTCAGCGCTGCGTTGATGCTAAAGCTGGGGATCACTTCCCACATCTTCTCTCTGCCGACACCTTCCTGCTCCATCTGTGATTACTCTTGTTCGTCGTGAAGTTGTCCCTGGTGTTGTCTGAGTTTAGTGCATCTGTACTTTTTCACCATTGTCGTCGTCGACAAGTACAACGAGGTTGCGGAGCTGCTGACCGAGCGCCGGCTGAAGGGAGAGCATATCAACTTTCGGACGCGTGGACCTCACGTTCAGCTGCTGGTGGCGATAATCATAAACCTCGTGCAGCATGCACACTGCTTCTTGGATGTCGGCGAGGAACGCAGCATCACGGAGAGTGAGACGTCCAAATACGAGCTCCAGAAGTACATCCAGTCGGCCTCGACTCCGAATGTCGCCACGCACGTGCTCCCTCTTCGCTGCCGCATGTTCAAGTCGGCGCCACCCCACCATACTAATGCCATGCATGCGCCGCCCCCCAGAGGCGACGTGCGAACCGATGAGTCCCATGGTCTATGCATCGTGGCCGGCGCTTCTTGGCCACACCGCTCCGGAAACGATAAGCTACAGGGTGATGGTCGTACCAGACGTTCGGGTCGGACGCGCGCCTCCAAAGAGGACATGTCGTACTAACATGTCTCTGTGCGTCCCATCAAGGGCGGCAAGGAGCAGCACGAGCAGGGTGGAGCCGTCGGAACCGACAGCCAGGGGCAGGGCCAGAAGAAGAAGAAGCAGAACGGCCGCCTCGCGTTCGCGTCTAGCTGCGACGAGGCGGGGCGAGGGTCGTGCTCCACAGAGGAAACCCATGCCGAGAAGCACCCTGCTTGCCTCCAGGGCGCCCTTGGTTTCTTGGGCTCCGAAGGTTCTACGATGGAAGACGTGACGCCCCCATACCCAACATCCATGGACGTCCTGGATTCTCAGGGTTGGGCTTCTTGCGAATGGTTTCTTGTGGCCGAGCTCCTCATGTATCAGTTCCTGTCCCACGAGGGGGCGCTCAGGGCCATCCAGCTCGTCGGCCCGGCCGCCACGGAGACCTCCAGGAGAGGGAGGCGGACGGAGCTGCGGGCAAGACCCGTGTCCGTGTCCACTGCAGCTTGGAGTTTTGGGGTTCCCTTCCCCAGAAGCCCGAGGCGCACTGGATAGGTATAAAAGCCTGTCCCCCAGGGGGCTCAAGGTGTAGCCATATCCAGTGCGCCTGGGCCTTGCAGCGCCCCCTTCCAGGAAAGTCCAGCGCGCACCGATGGAGATACATGCTGGCCGCAGGAGCGCCTGCGGAAGCACCACGCGGGTGCGCTCTCCTCGCCCCGAGAGCGGGGCGCCGTGGAGGCGGCAGGTCCCAGAGAGGCAGCGAGACAGCGCCACCCGAGAAGAGGGAAGCTTTCGGCGGCAGGGGGCGCTTGGCGTTTTCGGTGGCCTTCTCCTCCTCCTCCTCCTCCTCCTCCTCCTACCTCCTCCTCCTCCTCCTCCTCCTCCTCCCTCCCCCCTCCCTCCCTCCCTCCCTCCCTCCCTCCCTCCCTCCCTCCCTCCCTCCCTCCCTCCCTCTCCTCCTGCTCCTCCTCCTCCTCCTCCTCCTCCTCCTCCTCCTGCAGCGAGCAGAGGAGCCATCCCCGACCCCTTTCCGAGCCGCGAGTTTGGACACCTCTGCTGATCCAGATGGTTATCCTATCCCTCTAGCTGTGGCTCCATGAACGGCTGCACAGAGGGGAGGGCAGCAAGGCGGGCCGCGGATCCAGCCGCGAGTCGGTCTCTTAGGTGGGTCCCTCCTTGTGCGCCAGCGCGGTGTCTGAGGGTTCGCCGCCGCTCGGAGGCGGTGCTGGCCCCGGCCAGCGTGGGTGGCCCCACTTCTGTTCTAGGAGAGCGTGCTTCCTGCCCGAACCACGCCGCTCCTGTCAACACCTTCAAGACAGCTCCACGGTTCCCATGTCAAAGGCATGCCCCGCAATATCTACAAGAGATTTGCTGGACGGTGCGGGCATGGGCGCCGGGGATGCAGCTCGCTCCACGCTGTGGGCTTGTGGGCGGCAGCGGACCCTTTCGAGCGGACCGCTGTGAGGAGGAAAAGGAATCTCCCGGAAGTCCAAACCGTGCGACAAGTTCAGAATGTATTCCTGTTCCCATCCGTACCCCTTACTATTACATGCACCTACTATGGGGCACACGCGGCCGATGACAACCAGATCTGGGGGATCCGTCCTGCCAGCAAGAAGTGATACAAAGCGAACGTGTCTCGTCTCGACCTGGGCGTTCCGCCGTCGCCGCTGCAGAATGCGCGCGTGGCAGGCACGGGACGCCGCGCACATCGCGCCCTGCGCTCCCGTCGCCGGCGGTGCCGCAGCAGACGCGGGGCGGGCAGGGGCCGCGGCGCACCTCGGGCCCTGGACCCGCTCTCAGGAGAGAACAAAAACACAGACACTATTCATCGTCCGCTCCCAGGAAAATATGGGAATTAGGGGGGAAGACAAAAACCCAGGAAATATAAGAAAATATGGGATCCGTTTACTTGTGTGTATTTATTTATGTGTCCCAGGGCCCGGGACCCGCCCGGTCGGCGAGGCAGCACCGCGCGGCGGGAGCGCCGCGCGGCGCAGGTCGCGCCCTGGCTCTCGGCGTCGGCGATGCGAGCGAGCTGCGTGGCAGCATGGGGCGCGCGGCTCGCCTCGCGCAGGGGCCGCGTGCCCCCCCCCCCCCCGGAGGCCCCCGAGCGCTTCGGGACGCCGAAGTCCCATCGAGCGTCGAGGTTCGGTCGCCCGGCGCCTCCGGCCCAGATGGGGCCGCTTTCGGGCTCCCCGTGGGCCTCGGGGGCCCCTGCTGTTGGTCTCCAGGGCGAGGGCCGAGCGAGCCTCTCACAGTACGCCTCGATCGAGCCTCCAGTTGCGCCTGCGCGGGTGGAGCTGGACGGTGCCCGCAGACTCGCTCGAGCTGGCTAGTGCGACTCCCGACTCCTACTCCTCACATGATTCCTCCTTGTCTTCCGTTTTCTCCTCTTCCTCCTCCTCCTCCTCCTCCTCCTCCTCCTCCGCTTCATCCTCCTTGTCCTAATCCCCCCCCCCCTCTTCCTGTCTTCCTCCTCCTCTTCTCGCTCCTCCTTCCGTTCTTCCGGTACAGGACATTGCGCTACGCTCACTTGCCACAGTTTCGACGTTCGTTGTCGCATGCCCTAATTATAGTCCTATAGTCCTCCTTCGGCTCCTCCTCCTCCTCCTGATCCTCTTCCCTGCTCCTCCGTAGCCATTTTGGCTCAAGGGGCCTTCTCCTGAACTGCCCAACCTCGCTCGAGGCGCCTGGTGGCCAGGCACCAAGGCCGGGAGCGGACGCGCTCCCCTGGCCCCGCGGGGCCGCTCCCCCTCGGCCCGCCGCGGCCGCACCTTCCTCCCCTCCCTGGCCATGCCGTCAGAAGATAGCTGGCCTGAATCGATTGCCACCACTCCGCCAGCCTCCACTCCGCCTGCATCCCCTGGAGGTACGACTATGGAGGGAGTGAGGGACACCGAGAAGATCCTCGCTGCCATGCATGACATGATTGCTCCTCTGTCGTCGTCGGTCACCAGCTTATCCAGTCAGTTGAATCGCGGGGTGCAAG